ATGAACAGACAAGCAAGAGGCTGCAGTGGTGTAAGGACTGGGTCACAAGCCAAGGAAAGCACGCAATCTCTAGAAGCTGAAAAGAGAAGGAAATGGATCCCCATTCCCCCCGCCCCACCCTGAGCCTGAGGAAGGAACCAACCAGCCCTGCTGATACCTTGATTTTAGCCCAGTGGAGCAGATTTTGGATTTCTAGCTTCAAATTTCTAAGCACCAATAAGGAGCTCTGGTAGCGTAGTGGTTACAAATCGGGCCGTGAATCGCAAGATCAGCAGTTCGAAACTACCAGCTGTTTCACAGGAGAAAGATGAGGCTTTCTGTTCCCGTAAAGATTTACAGCCTCAGAAACCCTGTTCAGGGTCGCTGAGTCAGAACTGACTCCATGGCACTTAACAACAACAACAACAACAACAACCGCCAATTGTAATATGTAGTCCTAGTGTGGAGCTGTAGGATAAGCACTGGACTCTAACTGCAAACTCAGCAGTTCAAACCCACCAGCCACTCACAGGAAACCCTATATAGGATCACTAAGAAGTGGAAGTGACTTGACATCTTGTAACATGCATTTAACAAGTGTAATATAATAAGTGTTATTTTAAGGAACCTACTGTAGGCTCATGTGCTGGACTACAAAGTTGGTTTGAATTGCACGGCACTTAACAAGTTTAACAACAAAGCTTTGGTAATTTGTTACAACGGCAATACAAAATGCCCAAACCCATTGTCATCAAGTCAATTCCTACTTACAGTCACCCTATAAAACAACAGAACTGCCCCCTTAAGGCTTCCAAGGATCTAAGTCTTTACAGAAGCAGATGGATGGCCACACCTTTCTTCCACAGAGTGGCTGGTGAGTCTCAATGGCCAAGCTCTCAGCCACTGTACCACCAGAGCTTCTCACAGCAAAAACAACTGGAAACTAATTTTTGTTGTCAGTTGCCATGTTGTTGTTGTGAAGTGCTGTCGCGTCGTTTCCGACTCATAGCAACCCTGTATAGGGTTTCCAAGGAGCGGCTGGTGATCTTGAACTGCTGACCTTGCAATTCCAAGGGCTCTGCAGTCTGGCGCATTAACCCACAGCACCACACCAGTACTCCACAGTGCCACACTAGGACTCGCTAAAATATAATATTTCACACTAGGACTCTCTAAAATTTAAATTTCATGTAAAATGGGCTCTCATTTTATTACCCTGGCATAGTGAGCACTCAAAACATTTTTTAAGTTAAATTAACAAAGTACCAATATCAATCATTTCATAATGGATTCCCCAGAACAAATGCAAGGGTAAAAAGAAATGTCTAGACTAAAGCAAAGTGATGAACCATTACTGAGACATCTCTGTGAAAGGAGGGGACACCATGAACTTTGTTGGTCCTGGTCTAAAGGCTGGGGTGCCAACATGATGACCACATGAGTCAAGTACAGTGCTCCATGCTTTATTTACAGTATCCCATTTAATCCTTTCAACAAGGTCTTCCAAACAGATGGCATTCCCATTTCATATACAAGACTTTTCTTCTTGTGAAGTGCTCTCGAGTCGGTTCTGACTCATAGCAACCCTGTATAGGGTTTCTGAGGAGCAGCTGGTGAGTCTGAACCACTGACCTTGAGGTTCAAACCGACCTTGCGGTCCAGTACTTTATCCTACAGCACCAACACCAGGGCTCCATACAAAGCCCTTTGCTGTTGCTGTTAAGTGCCGTTGAGTCGATTCCAATAGCTGTTAAGTGCCGTTGAGTCGATTCCCATAGCTACCCTGTATAGGGTTTCCAAGGAGCAGTTGGTGAGCTTGAACCACCGACCTTGCAGTTTAAACGACTTTGTAGTCTGATGCATTAGCCCACAGCGGCACACCAGGACTCCATACAAGGCGCTTAGAGAATAAGAAATTGGGATTTCATTTTTGGATCAATGGGCAAATTTCTTACTCTCTATATTAGCCCTCACAGAGTTCTGGTGTAACACTGTAGGATAAGCACTGGACCACAAAGTCAGTTGAATCATGAGGTCAGCAGTTCAAACTCACAAGCTGTTCCTTGGAAACCGTTTACAGGGTTGCTATGAGTTGGAACTGACTCGATGACACTTAACACCATACAAGGCCCATAAAGAGTAAGAAATATGTCCATTGAGCCAAAAACATACTCCAGATCTATATGATTAAAAGTTGCTTGCTTTTTCCACTATACTACTGGTGTGGCACTGTGGGTTAATGCACTGGACTGCAATGTCAATTTAAACTACATGGTTGGCAGTTCAAGCTCACCAGCCACTCCTTGGAAACCCTAGACAGGGTCCCTATGGGTAGGAATCGACTGGATGGCCCTTACCAACAGCAGCCACTAACAGACATTTCAAAGTATTGTCGATCAAAGTTTTCTAAATGAATTTCCAATTTCTTACTTCAAACTTGAAATAGGTATACACACAGTATGTTGTTGTTGTTAAGTGCCACCGAGTCGGTTCCAACTCATAGTGACCCTGAATAGGGTTTCCGAGGAGCAGCTGGTGAGCTTGAACTGCTGACCTTACAGTTCAAATGACCGTGCAGTCCAGCACATTAACCCACAGTGCCACACCAGGACTCCACACACAATATGTTGTTGTTGTTGTTAAGTGCTGTCAAATCAGTTCCAACCCATAGCGGTCCCGTGTAGGGTTTCTGAGGAGCAGCTGCTGCGCTTGAGCTGCCAACCTTGCAGTTCAAATGGCTTTGCAGTCTGGTGCATTAACCTACAGTGCCAACACAATATAGATCTAGTTAAAAAGAACCTCTATTATTCTAAACTTCAATTTCTCTAGAAGTCCTGATGTGGCGCTGTGGACTAACGTGATGGACTGCAAGGTCAGTTTGAACCACAAGGCTGCCTCGCCAGTTCAAGTTCACCAGCTATGGGTTGGAACTAACTTGATGACACTTAACAACAACATAGAGTGACTACTGTGGTGCTGTGCGTTAATGTGCTGGGCTGTAAAGTTGGTTTGAACTGCAAAGTCGGCAGTTCAAGCTTATCAGTTGCCCCTTGGGAACTTTACAGGGTCGCTATGGGTCAGAACCACCTCGACGGCACTTAACAACATATAGTACAAAAGCAACAGTGATGTAGTTTGGCTCACACTGAATCTGTACAACCAAATTCATGTCTCTATGTTGGCTAAACTCTTTTCTCTTCATGATAAGCAGTTACTTTTAATTTCAAAATGTTGAGACAACTTCTGTGGTGACAAACAGTGCACATAAGTGTTAACAGCTTAAGACCCCAAAAGTTATCACCCCAAAGCTTCACTTCCTCAACTAATGCTTTTTTTTGTTTGTTTTAAGTCATCAGCAGGTGTAAAAAACTCCCAGTAAAAAAGCTAAGGCATTGAATAAGAAAATCTAGTGGCAATTGAAGAAATGAGGCAGGGGATCTTTCTGCCAAGAATAGATTTTCCTTAAACAGCAAGTCTCTGGAAACTCCAAGAAACTTGGTTGATAGACATGCAGGGGTGAAGATGAGTGTGGTCAAATGATGCTTTCATGATTGCCAAATATCATTGTGAGACACCAGGAAGATCAGCACTCCTTCGGGTGAGAAAGGGGAAGCAGTAACTAGAATATAAATGAAAGTTCTGTTCTAGCTAAAAATCACTACTATTCCTGGTAAGGATGCTTCCTTAACAAGTGCATAAGAAAATCCCAATTCCTCAATCTTGCTTTCTTTTAATCTGTGGATTTCCCTTATCTATATCATATTGGAATTAGTATAATAGTGTTAAAAGGTGACTGCTCCCTGCTATATGGAACATACTTTACCCATTTGCCAAGAAATAAATGTTTAATGGCAAAATTCTACCACTTAAGACTGGACTCCTAGAGGACTCCTGAAAAGCATTTTATGGCACGCTCACTGCACCTTCAAAAATCATTTTCTTCAGTCGTCTCCAAATAAGGCTATTATTTATATTCTTAAAGTACAAGCAGCAAAAACTAATGTATACCAACTAAAGAACACTTGGATAAATTAATCACTTATTTTTGCATAAACAGGGATTTAACCATACTCTCTCCCAGGCACTTACAAACTTATTAAGATATGCAGAATAACATTGGGACAAATATTCAAGGTTGCTCACATCAGCATCCCCAATTCTGAATTGATACTCCATGTACTAGCAGAAATTACAAATGTAAATGAGGAGGAGCCAAATAAAGATAACTGCACAGAAAGTATTTAAGCCAGTAGATAAAACCTGTAAATGGATATATAACTACAGTAGATACACTCTCACTGGAGTCCAATCAGAGGGAGAGTTGTTTAGAATATGTACACCAATCACTGACATACCAAACCCCTTCTGTAATGAAGCCTGTCAGCTCCTTTTTTTTTTTTTTTTGTCTTAACTAAATGTCTGAACTATTTTTCTCACCAACTTTCCCCCAATCTCATTAGAAACCTCAGTCCTGGTGTAGTACTGCAGGTTAATGTGCTAGACTGCAAGGTCAGTTTGAATTGTAAGGTCGGCAGTTCAAGCTTACCAGTCACTCCTAGGAAACCCTATAAAGGGTCACTATGAGTGGGAACAGACTCAATGGCACGAAACAACAAAAACAATGTTCCCTTAGCTCCTAGTGAGAGGAAACAACGCTAACAAGTCACCACAAATGGCTTTTCCATGACCAAATATGTTTGACTTTATGAAATTCAGAACTTATTAATATTCATGACTTATTTTATTAATCGTCTGAAAAGGCATTTAAATACTTTCCCAAGAACACATTAGTGAATTGTAGTCTAGAAACAGTGACAGATCACGTAGAATACTCTAGAAATGACAAGTTTAAATAAACTATTAAAGAAAAATACACTACATAGTAAAACAATTTCTAATGATCTCAAAAATATTTTCACTTTACAAAAGAAACAGTGTTTCCATTTAAATTTTACTCTCTATTTCTGAAATACTTATAGAAAAATCACAAAATGCACCCCATATAAGGACAAACATTTTTACTATGAACTTGTGATCATAGCCTCTGAAATTTCAAAGGTGGCCACAATATTTTTCCAGTCCTGTAAACTCAAAGATATAACTCCCTGTTTGCTGCCAAGGGAACTGGGATCATCTTCCTCATCCATTTGGTTACCATTAATTGGCTCTAATATTGGCAACCTGTCTTGATCAAGCCTTAGTCTTGCAAAACCATCCCTTATGATGAAAGAAACATAAAACATATTTTCCACCGTATGAGAAAAAGAGTTTGGATCAATCACAAATTCAAAATACGACACAGGATTATTAGGATACTTTCTAAAGTAGGTTTGCAACAATCCCAAGATTCTTTCTACTTCTTTTTCTGTTGCTTCTTGATTACTACTTGGATACATCTTCCTCAACTTTGTAGGCATCTCCCCATTTTCCTCAATTTTCTCAAGTCTTTTCCGTGGTCGTGGCTTTGGTGCAGAAGACTCTGACTTGAATGACCCGTAGACGAAGTGGAACGTTTCAGTTCGCAATGTCCAGGATGTTGCCTCCTTCTGTATTTTCTCCCAGAAGGCAAGAGCTACGCTCTCATCATAATCACCCAATTGATTCTTCCCCTCTTCCAGACAATTGACACCCACGAATACAAACAGCAAGTCACAAAACGCTGCTTGATTAAAAAAGTTCATATCAGAATTTAGCTGCTTTGCTTTTTCTTTACCTAAATCAGAAGCCAAAACAAGAAACTGGGCATCAAGGGCGGCTTCCCTTGTTCGGCTCACGCCATCAAACAGGACGTCAGCTTCTTCAAGCGCCTCCGTTAACGACTCGCTTGCCGTGTTCACGATGTCGTCCCGCTGCTGCTGGACACTATAAATGAGCTGACGGTACTGCTTGCGAATACTCCGACACTGCTCCTCATCAGCCACCATCCCTAGGAGGATTGTATCTATATCTCCTTCCTCAGAGCTTAAGTCATCTGAGCAGGAATCGTCCCCCACCATCACCTCCACCTTCATCGGCTCTTCCTCCTCCTCAGGCTTCTGGGGATAGTCACAGCCAGTGATGGTCAGGGCTGGCTCCCTTCTGTTTTCATCGCCTCTCTTCAGGTCATCTTTTTCACCAGACATGTCCGCAACCGACAGCTCTCAGCCACCAACAGACAACTCTCAGCCAGCAACGTTTCGCGTTTGACAACGGCAGATAGAATGGACAGTTGTCGAAGTGGACAGCTGCCCATGCGCACTAACGGCGCAGCACAGCCGCGGTCCAGGCAGTGTCTGACGTCAGAGCTCCGCCCTTCACGCGTGCGCAGAGAGCTACACTGGCGTTCCCTGTCAGGCGTACTCAGAACATCATGCCATAGTGGGGACTTGTCAGACAATGAACTACCCTCTCAAGGGATGACTGGTATTTCGGCATTTATTCAGTGTGTCAACTTGTGACGAAATACGTGTACATTCTTATGACAAAACTGCGGAGCGGAGACTGACGGTCTGCACTTTAAAACCGGCGCTGCTGATACATCTCAGGTCAACTTACTTTTTTCGTAATTACAGTGATTAAAAGGTCTTTTCTGTTTATGATGTTGTTGTTATGTGCCGTGGAGTCGGTTCCGACTCACAGCGACCCTGTACTGGGTTTCCGAGGCTGTAAATCTTTACGGGAGCAGAAAGCCTCATCTTTCTCCCACGGAACCGCTAGTAGTTTCGAACTGCTGACCTTGCGGTTTGCAGCCGGATTCGTAACCACTACGCTACCAGCTCTCCTTTCTATTTATGATGTTGTTGTTGAGTACCGTGGAGTGGGTTCCGACTCATAGTGACACTGAACAGGGTTTCCAAGGCTGTATATCTTTACGGAAGCAGAACACCTCATCTTTTCTCCCGCAGAACCGCTGGTAGTTTCGAACTGCCGAACTTGGGTTAGCAGCCCGATTCGTAACCACTACGCTACCAGAGCTCTATTTATGATAGGACCCCCCCACACACACACACACAAAAGACTGGTAAGATTATAAACTGGCTTGTGAAGCCCAGTTCTCAGGGTTCATTAGCAAGGGAGTTGTTTGGGACTTGGTAGAGACACTATACAGATGTAAATAGGGTTCATTAACTTCTCTGGTCCTCAAAGGCCAAATCCAGTCCAGCCCTACCCATCTCGAAGCTGTAAGGGGCAAGTGTCCACCACCATCTGCCAGCAGCTGAAAGGCACACATTATTACTCAAGAGATCTTTGGTTCCCCATTACCCAAGAGCTGAACAACGATCTTTTTTGGAAACTTGCTGCAGGCTGGAGGCACAATGGTTAAGCATTCCGCTGCTAACCCAAAAGAAAGGAATTCAGCATGCTGTCACACAGCCATAAAGATTTATTTTAAAGATGCCTCATAGTGACCCTACAGGGTAGAGCAGAACTGCCCCCTGGGGCTTCCTAGGCTGTAATCTTTACAGAAGCAGGCCACCACATCTTCTCCCTGAGAACCAGCTGGTGGGGTCTAACTGCAGACTTTTCAGTGATTAGCACGGGATCACTTTAACCACTACACAACCAAGACTCCCTGCCATAAAGATGACAAGTTCTGTCATACTGGGTCTCCAGGAGATGGAATCACCACTCTACTGAACACAGTAACAAAAAGTAAACACAAACGACAAAGATTTTAAGTACAATTTGTTGTAAGAATATGAAAGGGAATTGGATAACTAATATGCTGTGGAAATGTTCAGTGGAGTCACTGGAAGAAATTCCATTTTGTTTTTAAGAAGACCATGCACACTCAACTTCCCTCTCAAAAACAGAGCGAACCACACTGCACCTGTCTACAAAGTAGCATCTAGATTGTTTGCTTTTCTTGGGTATTAGCATGAACAGCAAAACCTGTACTGGATTACTCCAAAATTTTAGTTATCCTGGTTTCATTTTATTTATATCCACAATCAATGCTCATATAAGCAGCAGTCAAGATAACAAAGTATTGTGTTAGGCAAATCTGCTACAAAAGCCCTCTTTAAAATGTTAAAAAGCAAAGATGTCATTTTGAGGACTAAGGTGCACCTGACCCAAGCCAAAGTATTTTCATATGCATGTGAAAATTGGACAATAAATAAGGAAAACCTGCGAAGAACTGAAGCATAAGAATTACGCTGTTGGAAAAGAATATTTAAAGTACCAAGAACTGCCTGCCAGAAGAACAAACAAATCTGTGTTGGAAGAACAGTCAGAATGATCTTTAGAAGCCAGAATGACCAGACTTTGTCTCATGTAGTTAGGACATGCTATCAGGAGGAACCTGCCCCTGGAAAAAGACATTATGCTTGGTGGAGTGCGAAAGAGGAAGACCACCAACCAGATGGATTAAAACAGTGGCTTAAAATGAAGTCAAACCTAACAATTGTTCATTTTAAGATGGTGCAGTGAAACACCGGGCAAGCAGTGTTTCATTCTGTTGTATGTATACTGGGTTACTGTGAGTCGAATACACTGATGACACCTAATAACATTGAACAACAATTATTTTTAAAATAGGAGTGATTCAGGAAGAAACAAACATTTGTCAAAACATTGTGTGCCTTATGGTTATTTGTATGTGTGTCCCTCCTCTATTAGAGTTTCTCAAAAGAGGACTTAGTTTTAAATCTTACAAACAGCTGCTTTCATGTGGAAACACTCAAATATGGACTGAATGAATACACAAATAGTTCCAGTACCCAATGGAAGCTATATGCGTATGAAAACCTAAATTCTAAAGCACATGGTTTGTGGGAGGCTGTCTACAGCAGAAGCCCAAACTTCATTTTGAGCCTCGACATAAGTTCAGGCTCCATTTGAGTTCTTAAATGTTATTTCAACAATGTGGTTATGGTTAGACTAGTCCAGATACGTCTGGGAGAAGCCAAGGAAGTACAGCTTGCACTCAGGAAGAATGTAGTTGAAAGCAGAAAGATGCTTACACAAAGAACTAACGAACTTGCCTGGGCATGATTTACAGACCCATGTTATCTAAATGAATTTAAAGGCTGGGGTCCTAGGGTTGTCTTGTAACCACCATGTGACTATGACTTAGGGTTGCATGACCACCGCCACAGAACCAATCTGGAAATCTTTTTTTTTTAACCTACACTTGTGTCCATAGTCCAATCATGGTCCCCACCAAGGAACCCTGGTGGCACTGCAGAATAAGCAAAGGACTGCCAATCACAAAGTAAGCAGTTTAAACCCACCAGTAACTCTGTGGGAAAAAGACAAGGCTGGCTGCTCCCATAATATTAAGTCATGGAAACCCTTTATAGTAGGGTTGCGATGAATTGGAATCAAATCAATGACAGTAGGTTTGGTTTTTAAGGAGCTCTGACAGCATAGTGGTTACGAATCGGGCTGTGAACCCTAAGGTCAGCAGTTCGAAACTACCAGCTGTTCTTCTGGGAAAGATGAGGCTTTCTGCTCCCGTAAAAGTTTGGTGGTGGTGGTTATGTGCCATGGAGTCGGTTCTGGCTCATAACAACCCTGTATAGGGTTTCTGAGGCTGTAAATCTTTACGGAAGCAGAAAGCCTCATCTTTCTCCCACAGCTTATGAGTTGGAACTGCCTCCACAGCACATAACCATCACCACACCAGGTTTGGTTTTTCAGTTTTGGTAGTTTCACCTGCAACCGTGTTTATTTAACCTATTATCAATCATGATCTTGTGATGATTTTCTTTGCCCTTTGAAAGTATATAATGAACACCGGACCTGTGATTCAATAGCTTCCAGTGGCTTCTGTACTGGGCACAGCTGACAATTTTCCTCAGTCAGATGACTGTTGTTTGTCTTTGTCTTGTTTTGCTATTGTTATTGCCGTTAAGTTGGTTCCACTCATAGTGACCCAATATAAAACTCATAGTGACCCTATGTAGTGTTTCTGAGGAGTCCTGATAAGCATAGTGGATTCTGAGTCGGAACTGACTCCAAGACACAATACCTTTTTTTAATCTGCAATTGATCACTCTGCAGATGTGGAACCCACAGATGGGGAAGGCCCACTGTATAGGTAAACTTGTTTTAAAATAATGGGCATCAAGCTTGAAATTTTGATTTGGATTTTATTTTTTAACTTTTTATTGTGAATTGGATGAATGTTAAGAGCCTGCTCTCTTCTCCAGTGGTTTGAACTGCCAATCTTAAGGCTAGCAGTCCAGTGTTTACCCTACAGCGCCACACCAGGACTCCTTGTCTTGTTTAAGGCTTAATAAAAGGGTTTCTTCTAGAGCATCTTTGAGCCTGGAGTCTTTTTCCTAGCATAAACAGTTCACAGATTACTGGAGGGTAATAGATCCTATACCCAGGAAGTAAAATCAACTGCCTTTCAGAAAAAGTCAGTCTTACCTCAGTCTGGAATAAAGGAAAAAACAAATTGAGAACCAGGGTCATTAAAGAACCATATTTTTGCCCAAGTCTGGCAAATTACAAAGTAATGTTTATATGTCTTAAATTTTAAAACTATACATAGTTAAGTACTCCAAAAACCCCAAACCAAAAATACTTCTTGATTGATCAAATTTTGGGGAATTGAGGATTCCAACCTTCTGACTGACATTCACTTTCAGTTCAATAAAAGCATTTTTTTTTTAAAAGAGCTATTTATTTATTTATTTTTAAAATCCAAAAGATAAGTCAACCTCCCTACATGAAGATGTTCTATTTTCTCCTGGCTCAGAGAAGGGAAAACAGACTACCAATTTCCAATTTGTTCCCTACAGTCTTTCATTTTAGAATCTCAAAATGCTTTAGAAAAATAAATGAATTCTCCCAACCTACTTAGACAGTCTAAGTAATACCATTTACAGGGATTTCTCAGGCGATAACAGCCCACACAATTTGCTCAGAGCCACAGAACAACACAACAAGGCACACATCTTATTAAGCTGTGGTTTCCAGGGCTGAATTCATTCTATGCTAACTAAGTCCCTGACCCCAAGAACCTTAGTAGCATGTAACTTATAATTATCCTCATAGAAAGCCTTATTTGTGCTATATC